ACAAACTTTTTCCCCCCCCCCCCCCCCCCCCCATCACCCTTCTGTTCTGAAATTTGATTTGTCCTTTTCATATGTGTTCTTTTTTAAAATTGTATCCTTTGGTATATATGGTTGTGACAATTTTCTTCCACTATTTTATCTGAGGAAGTGGGTCTGGCCCACGAAATCTCATCATCTAATAAACCATCTTGTTAGTCTTTAAAGTGGTACATAGTCCTGCATTTTGTTTCAGCTACACCAGACTAACACGGCTACATTTCTATCACTATTCCTGACAATGTTTGCCTTCCACAGATCCTCTTTTAACTACTACTAAGAACAATTTTTGCTGTTAGTGTAGATGATACTAACTCCTTTCTAGTACTGAGAAGGGCACCATAGCTTAGCTGGCTAAAGCACCTGCCTAGGAAACGAGATCCTGGGTTCCACTCCCAATGGTGCCTTGTAGGCCTTTGCTCGTACGGGGGGGGGGAGGGACTCAATGACCTCCTTTCTTCCAACTCTACAATTGAGATTTGGTTCCATCAAGGCCCAATAATGGCCTTGCCATAGATTATGTCTCAAGAATATTTTTGTAATGGTTTTATCCTTGTATTCTAACATTTAAAATATTTTCAGTGGTCCCAAGCTAACAACCGATGGTAACAGGTTCATTTAATGTAGGTATAGCCAGAGAATTCGGAGACTGAAAAGATCCAACAAGTCACCTAGTCCAGTCCTTGCCAATGCAGGCATGTAGCCTACCATGTATTTCCTAAAGTCTCCATTGATGACAAGACATTTTATTTTTATCATAGACTTTTATTAGCTTTGCCAGTTGAAAACAGAGGTGAAGGAAACAAAAATAGAGTATATTCAATTCAAACAGTAAAAGAAAATAAAAAATAGACCTGTACACTTACAAAATATACCTTCAGGTTCAGATGTAAAATAGCTAGACAGACATAAAATCTATCTGAAGCTAAACCAAGAACTGTACTTAAAACATTCTTTTAAAAATATGAGTTGGTTTTCAGGCACACTTCTCTGACATAATGTACAGTAAAATCTCAGAGTTACAAACAGACCAGTCAACCACATACCTCATTTGGAATTAGAAGTACACAATTAGGCAGCAGCAGAGAAAACAAAAACAAATACTTTAGTGTTAAACTACTAAAAAAACAAGGGAAAGCAGCATTTTTCTTCTGCATAACAAAATTTCAAAGCTATATTAAAACTATGTTAAGTTGTAAACTTTTGAAAGAACAACCATAACATTTTGTTCAGTTATGAAAACATCAGAGTTATGAACAACTTCCATTCCCAAAGTGTTTGTAACTCTGAGGTTCTACTGTTTATGCAAAACACTGAAATAAGAGTAAGTTTTAAAGTCCATAGTAAGCAGCAAATATGGCACGTATCTCTTTTGGCTTCATATGTGGTAACATAAGTTATATTTCTTATTATATATGTTTTGCATATTCACTATCTTTCCTAAGTTAACCCAAGTTCCTTTCAATTGGAGCAGCACCCCAGTGACTGGGGGCAAAGTTATGATAGGAAAAAGGCAATATCAGTAATATGGTCCAGAACTCAGCAGTGGCTGCTGTTGTAGGTGAAGCTCCTAGAGTTGTTTGATACTGAGACTGTGCTTTGTTCCATGACTTTTTTAGGCTTATGCTTTGATTGGAACATTAGGAAAACTTCATGCTGAAGAACAATAGTTAGCATGCAAGCTTTGTAGAGTTTTATAACCAAATCTAATACCATGGGAAATAGATCAGTGTAGCAATTAAAAGTTTTCAGTAGGAATTTTTGAGAAACATAGAAGTCTCAAAATATACTTAACACAAATATGCCAAAATATCACTTGACTAGGTAAATATATTCTAAAGAAATAGAGTTTATGCTCTTTATATTTGTGCACCAAGGGACTGCACATTTTTTTGCAGATGCCTTTGAAGATCTGCCCCTATAATATTGACAATAGCATCATTTCAAGTATTAAGAGATTCAGGTGATTTTATGACAAGTGAACACTGCATATACTATTTTTTAAACTTGCAAAATAACTTACACTGAGGGAAAATACTGAGGGCAAAATTCAGAGATTATGTGTAAAGGAGGCCAAGCTGGAGTAATTCCACCAGAATTTAATTTATTTTATGCTGACTTGAGTTCACTGTTTGATACCTCTTATACACGCTCACATTTTAGTCTTGTGATTGGCATAATTAGGGAAACCAAACTGGGAAATCATAATGTTAGAATATTTTAAGGGCATGCTGTCATAAATATTAACCAATTTATTTAGACAGTAAGATCTTTGGAGCAAGTGCTCTGCTCGGTGCCACATTCCAGAATAGCCACTGTTAGTCTCTTTTTCTAAATTCCTTATGTCAACAGGCTTCACAAACACTCCTGAAGGCTTTCCAGTATGCTTTGCCACTAAAAAATTCATGACAATATCATCACAGTTTTGAGTTTCATCTATCAAAGCACGAACAGCATCAGGCTGCTTTTGAAAGAGTTCTAGGTATCCACTGTGGAAGAATGCTGCTCCTATGAGAATCATGGAATACTGATCCCCATTTCCAAATCCAGAGGTCTGCAGTTCAAAGCTGCCATAACTGTAAATACCTGAAGGAGTGGAAACATGCTTTCTAGGAACAAATCCCACTATTTGATCTTGAAATTGCTGTAAGAAAAATCAAGAGGGAGCAAAATAAAAGTTCTGCACTAGAGTCAAAAAGTGAATCAATACAGCAGTACAAAACCTCTTATATAAAGTATTCCTTCTGAGGCTATTAGAGTTAGAGGTGCAAATCAATTGCTATCAAAGATTCAGATAATATAATCAGCTGTATGGTTTGCTGGCCTGAACCACATGGAGATTTTGTTGCAAGTTAATACAAAATGACCTGTATAAACACTGTGCTTCATACCACATCATACATTGCCAAGTAGCATCTGGCTGAAGTTAATTTGCATTCATGTGTTTGAGATAAAAAATAAGCCTACAGATAATCTCTACACAGTAAAGAGAAATATTACCAGTGATTTCTGCTGCAGAGATTCCTGATAAAATTAAATTTTCTCTGCTGCATTTAACCAATTAGGTTTTCTGATATCTGTGACTTGGTAATTTGCTTTTTAAGCAGAGGAATGGTAAAAACATATCATTTTCTATCATTAAAATACTGTTCTTCAGCACCTCTTGCCCTTTAGAATTTAGTTGATGGTCCATGTGACAGATAATATCACCATGTCCGAGGAATACCAACAATAAGCTGATTTAATTTTTCCATTTAGTAAAATTAATATATACTCCCTTATAAATACGCTGGATGTAATATACAAACATTACCTGCCAAACAGAGAAGGCAAATGCAAGATCATAGGCACTAACCAGTGTGTCATCATCCATCATTAAAACAGCTGAAAAGAGGGGGAGACATTTTAATTGTGTAATACATGTAAAAACATTAAAATCATTAAGTGATAACCGTGAGAATATACCTGTGCTATATACAATGACAAGCTAGCTAGACAACTCTATAAACATTAGAATTAGCTTCACAGCTAAATCAACAGGTACTGGGCTGAAAAAGTATACTTACATACTAATATTAGAGTGAAAAAGAATGTTTAACTTTGAAATTGCAGCAGATGATTAATTGACCTAAACCAAACATAATGTTTAGGATGTTTTTGCTGTTATTAATCATAAACTATCACTGTAGCTTTAAAAGTTGTGTAGCATAGCTGAACAGCTGTGCAGGGGTTGGGAAAAAATACAACAGACTTTACTAATTGAAGATCAGGTTGCTGTCCTAATAGCTTTTTAATAGGGCTGTCAATTAATAGCAGTTAACTCGTGCAATTTACTCAAAATTAATCGTGATTAAAATCAATTTTGATTAATCATACTATTAAACAATAGAATACCAATTAAAATGTATTAAATATTTTCAAATACTGATTTCTGTTACAACACAGAATACAGTGTATATTGTTATTTTATTACAAATATTTGAACTGTAACATGATAAGATATAGTATTTTTCAGTTCATCTCATACACATAATATAGTATAACAACTTTATCGTGAAAGTGTAATTTACAAATCTAAGGGTTTTTATGTTACATAACTGCACTCAAACAAAACAACGTAAAACTTCAGTGCCTATAAGTCCACTTAGTCCTACTTCTTGTTCAGCCAATTGCTAAAACAAATTTGTTTACATTTATGGGAGAGAATGCTGCTGCTTATTTTTTACAATATTATCTGAAAGTGAGAACAGGTATTTGCATTAGGGATGTAAAATCCCATTTAATTAGTTAACCAGCTAAACTTTATGTTTAAATCGATAAACTGATTAAATGGGGATAGGCGGGAAGAGGGTCCATGAAGGGTTAACCATTCACATCCCCGGTTTGCATGGCACTTTTGTGGCTAGCATCACAAGTTATTTACATGCCAGATATACTAAACATTTGTATGCCCCTTCATGCTTTGACCAATGAGCTCTGTCCACTTTGTGGGATGGATTCCATGATATTCCACAGAATTATTTCTTAATATCAAGGAAACACCAAGACATAAATATTTCCATACCACTTCTCTGGAATCTAGACAAGCAAAATTAGCATATTATACACACAAAAATCCCTTCTTATTAAGTGCAGGATAAAACCCGTTGCTTCAGATCCAGTGACCTGGGATCTGGGATTCCTCTGCAGCATGGGATGCAATTAACTGCAGGGATTAACTGGATCTAGCTCAAATCAGTTCCCTGACACTTCAGAAATCACAGGCATTCATTCACCTCGGTTTCTCTTGCTATCTCTAGGGATGTTGTTAGATGTCAGGTAATTGAACAGTCATGTAACCACATGAATTCTTATTGGTTGGATGACTATTTGATAGTCCTCGGGTGAGAGGCCAGCAGCCAGTGTGCTCCGGCCCCACTCCTAGGCTGTGTCCAGACTCAGGGTTTTTTTCCGAAAAAGTAGCCTTTCTTTCGACGGTGGTAAACCTCATTTTACGAGGAAGAACGCCTTTTTTCGAAAGTGCTCTTTCGAAAAAAGGCGTTCTTGAATGCAAACAGGGGTTTTTCAAAAGAGAGCGTCCAGACTGCCTTTCGAAAAAGTGGCTTGCTTTTTCGAAAGTTCCGCTTGCAGTCTAGATGCTCTTTTTCGAAAGAGGCTTTTTCAAAAGTATCTTTCGAAAAAGCCTCTTTCGAAAGAGGCTTGCAGTCTAGACATAGCCCTAGGGAGCCTCCTGCCTTCCCCAGTGTAGGGTACCAGTCAGGAACTAGTCCACAAGTGGAGCCAGTTTAAAAACTAGCTCCCCATGCAGACTGGTGCATACAGCCCCATGCTGCTGCCTCTGATACAGAGGTAGGGTGGCAGCAGCCCCTGTCCACAAGGGTCCGAGCTCCCTGTGGACAGAGATTGCTTGCGGGGAATGAAGATGTCTGAAGAGGCTGCCGCAAAGCAGTCTCTGTCCACAGCAGCCCAAGCTGGACACCATGAACGCAGGCTAGTCTGGCAGCAACCCCTGTCTGTGGTGGTTGGAAGGCTAATTTATTTAGTCTAGGAATGTAATAGGGTAGTCGATTAACTGATAAGCAAAAACTTATAGGTTAATGCTATAGATTATACGCATTTCACTCCCCCCGCCACCCTGGGAGTACATTTTTTAACAGGCTGGCCAGCAGCCTGGCTCAGTCCTGGCTTGCGATGGGTCCAGGACCTAGCCCTGCTGTGGCTCTGCATTTAAAGCATATTAGGAGCTGGGCGGGCAGGCAGGCAGCCCAGCTTAGTCCTGACTCATGCGGGTCCAGGAGCTCAGACCTCCCCTGGACAAGGGCTGCTGCCACCCTGCACTGATGGCTTTGTATCAGAGGCAGCAATGCGGGGCAACAGGCAACAGGTCCACGAGGGAAGCTGGTTTTTAAACTGGCTCCCCTCATGGGCCAGCTCCCACCTGGCATCCCACACTGCTGCCTCTGATACAGAGCTAGCAGTGCAGAGTGGCAAGGAGCTTATTTGGAATGGTGCTGGAGCATACTGGCTACAGAATAGTTGACTAACCAATAAAAATTAATGAGGTTAATTGACTAGTCAATTAACCCATATTTAACATCCCTAATCTAGTCACCTTTGCCTGGAAGAAAACAACCGAGATAGCAGCCACATTTCCATGAGTACAGTGTGTGCTCTCCCTCCATTCCCTTATCCATCCAGTGTTTTTAATACAGTCTCTGGGCTGCTGTAACTTAACATCCATGTTACAGGATCTCCATGGCTACGTCTAGACTGGCATGATTTTCCGCAAATGCTTTTAACTGAAAAGTTTTCCATTAAAAGTATTTGCGGAAAAGAGCATCTAGATTGGCACGGACGCTTTTCCGCAAAAGCACTTTTTGTGGAAAAGCGTCCGTGCCAATCTAGACGCGCTTTTCCGCAAAAAAGCCCCGATTGCCATTTTCGTGATCGGGGCTTTTTTGCGTAAAACAAATCTGAGCTGTCTTCACTGGCCCTTTTGTGCAAAAGCTTTGCGCAAAAGGACTTTTGCCCGAACAGGAGCAGCATAGTATTTCCGCAAGAAGCACTGATTTCTTACAGTAGGAAGTCAGTGCTTTTGCAGAAATTCAAGTGGCCGGTGTAGACAGTTTGCAAGTTTTTCCGGAAAAGCGGCTGATTTTCCGGAAAAACTGGCCAGTCTAGACACAGCCCATGTGTCCTGCTTACATCTTCCCTGCCACTGTTTTCTGCTAAGTTGAATTGCTCAACATCAGTTAGATTCAGAGATTTCTGGATCCACTTGGTTTGTGGGATTTTTCCCATAATGATAAAATATACAGTTGTTTTGAGTGATAGGTAAAATGGGAAGTGTCCTGAAAAGTGAAAATAACACTGTTAGCAACAATGCTACCTATAAGATTGAGGCATTTATTACCTTTTGTTTCCAGTTCATGGAAGATCTGGAGTCTGTTCCTCATGCGATTCACTGTCTGCACTTTGAAGATAACAGGTACGGGATGGGGTCCCAGGGAATTCCACATTTCCTCTGGTATCTTCTCGCCAACATTATTCCACACAACGATCACTTTATGTAGATGGGGGATGGCTTGATAATGATTTAAGAGCTTCAGCAATAAATCAGTTCTATTGTATGTCTGCATAACAAGAGTAAATGAATCCAAGGCAGATTGGCTCTGGGATTTTGATTCTCTTTGCAAATTGGGCATTTTGTCATCTTTAATGTTAGGAAGCAAAGCCATTAAAGCACCTGCTACAAGGAGTAGGACAAGGATCACCACAGAAGAAAAGTGAAGTAGTCGGATTCCCATAACTCTTCCTGGTAGCTTACAGATGTGATGACATCTTTGTTAATAAACATGGAAATAGGAAGAGAAAATTCATCAACCTACTTATTGGTCAATTCAATATAAAATTAACATAGACCTCATTCAGTTCATACTCAAGCAAAATTCCCCATTAAAGTCAACTGGAGTTTTGCCCGAGTAAAAAATTAATAATTCTTTACGGGGCCTCTGCATGCTCCTGCAACAGACAGCATTATTATTATTTGTATAAAAATAACTATCAAATAGTCTGAGATGCTCATTAAAAATGTTATTTGTATGATCATTCTGTGAAACATGAGATAACTCTTAGTCTGTAAAACTATTCAGGAATTTACACTTGTATGGCAGGTCCACCATGAGTTAATCTACAAGTACTGTTGCCTAAGAGATCACCCTCTGAAAAACAGCAGATGATTGAAAGAGGATCAAAGGGGCATTTTTTCCAGAAAAGTGTGCTACACAATGATGACCTAAATGAAAGATATAGGGCTGTTACCCAAGGTGAAGCAATATAGCTGCCTGAGGCAGTAGATGCATGTGTGGTAGCAAAACCAAGATGTATCATCTCTATTACTATTCAAGATGTATCATGAATCCAATACAAAGTCTACTCCATAGCTCATGCATGTTAACTCTACCAGGTGGGGCTTATGCTAAGAATAGTGAGAGTAGAATCAAGGAACATCTGCTCCTCCTCCTTCCCACTTAAAACCTCACTCAAATGTCACCTCCTGCCCATTCTCACCACCTCCTCCTTGCATCACTAAACATTTATATTAAGATAGATTGCAGAGGCCAAACAAGTTTGGGGCTCATTTTGCTGGAGCTTTACAAGCTTAGTAAATGACAGTCTCTGACCCAAAGAGTCTATAAACCTAAATAATTGTATAAGTGAATTTTAATTCTAATGAAAAATCCTGGATTAACCATTCCAGAGTCCTTTGTTTATGATTTCAGTGGGTACAGCATAGTTATAAGCAAACTGTACTAACCTGTCCCAAATTTACTGGAAGAAATTAACACTAAGGGCTGTGTCTAGACTGGCAAGTTTTTCCCGCAAAAGCAGCTGCTTGCCAGCTGTCTACACTGGTCACTTGACTTTCCGCAAGAACACTGACGATCTCATGTAAGAAATCAGTGCTTCTTGCAGAAATACTATGCTGCTCCCGTTCGGGCAAAAGTCCTTTTGCACAAAAGGGCCAGTGTAGACAGCTCAGATTTGTTTTCCGCAAAAAAGCCCAGATCGGGAAAATGGCAATTGGGGCTTTTTTGCGGAAAAGTGCGTCTAGATTGGCACGGACGCATTTCTGCAAAAGTACTTTTTGCGGAAAAGCGTCCGTGCCAATCTAGACGCTCTTTTCCGCAAACGCTTTTAATGGCAAATTTTTCCGTTAAAAGCATTTGCGGAAAATCATGCCAGTTTAGACGTAGCCCTGGGATAAAGGAGTCGGAGGTCTCTATGCCTCTTCAAGGCTTGACATTTCTTCAGAGATCTCAGTGCTCAGTTTTGTCCACTTCTTTCTCCTCATCCACTGTACTGTTTCCTGACTCTGCTTACTAAATCATTAAACAGTTGTCCATTTTTATAGGAGAATGGCAGGGAAAATCAATCTTTAGAGATTCTGCCATGCAGGACAGGAGGCAGCAAGAAGTTTGGTTTATTATTATTATTGTTATTATCATAACATCTAAGAGCCCTAACCATGGTTCAGCAATCTATTGTGATGGGCTCTGTACAAACAGAGAACAAAAAAACAGTCCCTGCCTCAAAGACCTTACAATCTAAATATAAAATAAGAGACAGCTGAGAGACAGATTAGGGAGTACAAGGAAATAATGAGTAAGTATTGGCATGATAGACAGTAGTATCAGCATGCCAGCCAAACCATTGTCAAGTTATTTATAGGTATCATGACACCGGAGAGTTTTGAAGGATAAACAATAAAGTGTGTTTGTGAAGGTGTGACAGAGTGCCTGCCCTGCACTGGCCTTTTAAGGGCAGAACTGAGGCCCAGAGCAGGGGCTGAAAGCAAAGATCCAGCTGAGGCTGTTAGGGCTAATGAGAGCCCAGCTGGGGGCTATATAAAGAAGAACAGCCCCCTAGGGGAGGGGTTGAGCTGTGAAGAGCTGGTAGTGGAAGAAGCAGGATGCTCTCAGGAGGGAGAATGGTATTGGGGTGGCCAGGCAGGGCTAGAGGAGTGCTGGCCAAGGTGCTCCCTGGCTGTAGGGCCTGGGGCTTGGAGGCTGGCAGCAACACAGCCCGGGGAAGCAGATATACACCCTGTGCTGGTGATGAGTGGCCTGTACAGACTGCAGCTTGCCCTGAGATGGGCTAGATGAAGACAGGCAGTGGCTGTGTCTAGACTGGCAAGTTTTTCCACAAAAGCACCTGCTTTTGTGGAAAAACTTGCCAGCTGTCTACACTGGCCGCTTGAATTTCCGCAAGAACACTGATGATCTCATGTAAGATTGTCAGTGTTCTTGCGGAAATACTATGTTACTCCCATTCGGGCAAAAGCCCTGTTGCGCAAATGCTTTTGCGCAAGAGGGCCAGTGTAGACAATGCAGTATTGTTTTGCGCAAAAAAGCCCCGATCACGAAAATGGCGATCAGGCTTTCTTGCGCAAAACTGCGTCTAGATTGGCACGGACGCTTTTCCACAAAAAGTGCTTTTGTGGAAAAGTGTCCGTGCCAATCTAGACGCTCTTTTCCGCAAATGCTTTTAACGGGAAAACTTTTCCGTTAAAAGCATTTGCGGAAAATCATGCCAGTCTAGATGTAGCCAGTGGGTCACTGAGGCATGGTGGGGAGTACCCTAACGGGAGACAGTTCCTCCCAAGTATGAGGATTAGCATGGGAGAAAGCACAAAGATGCTTATTTTGAAATTTAACAAGTGGGTGATAGAAGCTTGCATCATAGGCTGATTGGAGTCAAGGGTTAACCTCTCAGTACCAGATGAGATGATAGAGAAGATGGAGATATGTTGTAATGGACCTCAGAAGTGAAAACAAGTAATGAATATTTAGTGCAAGAGAAATGAGGGGAAACCTAATGGGGATGCAAATAGTGACAAGGTCCAAGCTAGTGGTTCCCAACCTTTTTTTATACTGAGGACCAACAAACCCATTTACAAATTTTAGGCAGACCAGCCACATTTTATCTGCATATTTGTTATGCATATAATGCCAAAAGTCCTGGCTCCTAGAGCCGCTGTAAACATCCAGCTTTAGCTCTGGCAGTTGCTACATGGTGGGCTGCTGCTGTAGCCAAAGCTGGCTGTTTGCAGGGGAACTCTGGGGGCTGAGGAAGGGGTATACCTGAGCCCCCCCAGAAGTCCCCACCCCTCCACTAGCCCCTGTAGCAGCCACTAATCCTACAGTGCCCTGCACCCAATCCCCCAGTGCCAGCCTCATGCCCTCAGGGGCCCCCAGTGACAGCCCGTCATCCCATATTCCTCAGTGCCAGCTCCTGATAGCCCCCACCAGACTCCCCAGTGTCAGCCTCCTGTTTCCGGAGCCCCACTGCATCTAACTGCTCTGAGCCCCCCCGTGCCAGCCCCCACGCCCCAATATTAACCTCATCCCCATAGTTCTCAAGTGCTAGCCCCCCTCCTCTAATAGTTCCCCCACCTGCAGAGTCCCCCAGCACTAGCTCCGCACCCCTCACCTAGCTGTGCGCTGCCTCCCAGTTGCCAGCTGAGTGCTGCTGTCTGGGTAGCAGCTGCTCTAAGGCTGCCATGCAGGGCTTCATGTGGCCTTCCTGCTATGCAAAATACTGCTCTTTTGTATCCAAGAGGAGACATCTGCCCCTGCTGGGCTCTGGTTGGCTGAAAGTTGGGGCAGGACATGCCTCTCCCATCAGCTGCAGGGAGGGTAGGCTCTGGGTGATGTACCCCAGCCCTCAGAGCCACTGTGGCCCGGCAGTTGGGAACTGCTGGGCCAAGCGATGGACTCAGAAAATAGTATTTGTAGCCTCATTCTGAAAGGCTATGAGCAGACAAGACTGCATTTGTTAAGGCCAGACAAAAGAAAGTTGCAGTAATCATTTTGTGAGATGAGAGGCTGGATGAAAGTTTTGACTGTGTAGATGGATAGGAAAGGCCATGTACAGGCAGTCCCCGACTTACGTCGGATCCGCACTTATGAACGGGGCTTTTCTCGCCCCGGAGCTCACGGGCGGCAGGTCCTCCGGGGTGAGAAAAGCTTCTCCCGGTCTCCCTGGTCTGCTGGGGGGGTCCAGCAAAGCCGCTTGTTTGCCCGGGAACACCAGGGAGACCGGCGGGAGCAAAGCCGCCCAGGCAGCGGAACCCTCCCCAGCAGACCAGGCTTTTGTTGCGGGACACCTCGGGTAGAGCAGCTGGGGTGCTGCCGGGTTGGTCCCAGCTGTTCTGTCCCAGGCTCCAGATTCAGCAGCTGTTGAAACTGATCAGGCTGATTCCAGGAAGCTGGGGGCAGAGCAACTCTGCCTCCGACTTCCTGTAGTCAGCCCCTGGTCAGTTTCAGTGGCAGCAGCTGAATCTGGAGCCAGTCCCGACTTACATACAAATTGAACTTAAGAACAAACCTATAGTCCCTATCTTGTACGTAACCTGGGGACTGCCTGTATTAGAGATTTTATGTAGAAAGAATTTGCAAGATTAGACATAGCCTGGATTGGAGGACCTAGAAAGAAGTCTGATCTGAAGATGATAATCAGATTATGGGTCCAAGTGAAGGTAGGATGGTGGTAGTGTTTCCAGTGAAAAAGAAAGAAGGTAGCAGAGAGGGGTTTTGGTGAGAAAAGTAAGAGCTCTCTTTTTTAGCCATGTTGAATTTGGGCTGCTGGCTGGACATCAACAAAGATGTCAGAAAGTAGCTGCATTTGTGTTTTCAGGTGAGATTACAGAGAGATAAATCGTGAAGGAAGATGAGAAGAGAGACCAAAGACCTGTGCAAATCCCCACAGAAACATGGAAGGGGAGAGAAGATGAGGATCCTCTGAAGTACATGCTGATGGAGCAATCAGAGAGGTAGGAGGTGCAATAGAGAGAGGAAAGGAAGAGGAGAGGACACAAATATGGAAGCCAAGAGAGGACAGATTTGAGGGAAAGCAATATGTGTTGAAACCATCTCAGAGGTCAAGGAGAATGAGGATGCAGTACTAGTTCTGAGAGGAAGCCATTAAAGACTTCAGTAAGAGTGGTTTCCATTGTGTGCAAGAAGTGGAAGCTTAATTGGAGAAGGTTTAGGATTTCACTGCAAAAGAGTTCCAGATAGCTACAGCAAATACTACATCAGTGATCTTAGGGAGATGGGGGTAAGATCTGGAGAAAAAAGTGGTGTCAACCAGTGAGTTGTGGGCTTATTTGTTTATTTAAGA